TTAGGGGACTGTGGTGATTTGTAAAGGCATGAGAAAGGACAAGGAAAGAAAAGCAAGGAAACACTAGGAAATCAGGGAAKGAAAAGAACTAGCAAACTACAAAAAATATGTTTATATTGATGCCCACTGTATACTGGTAATAGCATTACTAATTCCAACATGATGGCTTTCATTATTAAAAACAAAAAAAAAGATGGTTATGAAGTTTCTGTAATTATTTTAGGTTGATCTGAGAGTGTATTATTTTCCTGGAGTTAGGTAGCATTTTAAATCTGCAAAGGATTAGACCRGCACAATCAGTTCAAATATTTGTCCAGCCATTGAAAGGAGAATCCTCACTTCCGCATGTGATGAGGCTTTGGAAATCTCCATCTCCATCATTGTTCAGCAGCTAAGAGAAGATTGCATGTTGATTACCCTTTCAGTTGCCTTTAAGCAGCTTATGTGAAATGTTACGTTCTACGTTACCTAAAATCCCTACTTTTTAATTTGTTCTCTGACTTKTATGCAGCAAGACAAATCTCTGTGGGTTTATATGCGCGCACACAAGTGCATACATGCAGCCTGATCAGAACCAGCTCCTTCCAAATATGAATTTCACTGAGCAGCACTTAAAAAGGTGCAAATGGAAGAGGGGCAGGCATTCTCATTAATCTTCACAAGATCATGAAAAGAAAAATAACAGCTTGCCTGTTTAGCCCAGTCAAATTGTAGCTATATAACTTAGCATAAAACATCTGAATTTCTAGACTTTTATTTAAAGCTGAAAAGCTTTTTTTTAAAGCTTATTCCGCTGCCTCCCTCACATTTTGAGATCATCAGAAAAAAAATAGGATAATCTATTATATTAGAAATATGTTACATATTCCTTCATTCTTCAAAAATGATTGTCTCACTCCATTCTTCTGAAAATATCTTCTGAGTGTCCAAAAGAATATGGAAAATTTGGGGAAATAACTGCAAARACAGGGCATTGTAATAAACTACTTGGATCTCTCCGCTAGAACCGTGACTTCTTAGCAAATGCCACAAGGCTGTGGGGTGGGTCATGAGAGGACCCAGAGAGCAGTGCTTGGCTTCACCACAGTGTCTGTCCCAAGGTCTGTCAGGATTTTGCTGATGGGATGTGCTGCAAGCCTGGACTTCCATCAGCCCAACAAATACAGATGGCAGGGAGCCATAGAGGCTGAGTGKAAATCCTCCACTCTGTGCTCAGCAGGACATCCCAGGGTTTGTTTCTGGGTTTTCATGAATGCGCAGCTTTTGTGATGATGTTGCTGAGCTCCACTCCAGACAAATACGTGTAATTGGGGTTTTTTCCCTCAAATATTACAATTTCTAAAAAGGTGTTAGCTACCATTGTGCAAATCTTATCTTTGCTTTTAATTCTATTTAATTGCATGGGAATTGAACAAACCATTTTCAGAGCTAACAGAAGGCTTGAATTCTCAGTTGCCTATTATACCATACCTTCACCTGACATTTTTGAACATAATTTTTAGTGCTTCTGTAGTTTTCCACTGGCCTGTATTTCCACATCTGCATGTGTCCCATTTGTACTCACCACATCAGTTGGTATTTGTAGCAGATCATCAGCTTGTATGAGCAAGGTATCATTTAACAATGTTGACCTATTGCATTAGGAGAAATCCCTTGGGATTTTATTGCCAGTGCACTGAAAGCCCATCAGACCTCATAGTCTGAAATGACTCTCACGGTATCATCAGGGCATTTTATGTACAACCCCCGTGGAGGAATACAGTTCTTTACATCCTTTTGCATTCCTGAGGATAAAGGGGAGCAGAACTTGTGGGAATTTGGAATTATTCTTCAGCAACCTGCATCATAAGGAACCACTTGAGAACTGTGTTTGAAGATAGCAGGTTTATGACTCCTGCACAGACAGTCCCCATAACAGCAGGTGAATGTTTGATTAAATAATGTCAAAGCTGGAAGAGACAACATAATGGGTTTCCACAGTGTATTTTTCTCTRCATGAGAGGCAGACATGCTCACCCTCTGTGAAGTTCAAAGAGGCACCTGACAAAGTTGGGTACCAGTGAATTCAAACATAAATGGGGCCTCACCTTCTCACGCAGTGGAATAATTTATTTTCACACGGCTCATAACACAAATTATTTATAGCCAAGGAATGAAAAATAGTAGGGATACAGACTTGGTTCAATTTCTATGAACCAGTTAGACATGATACATACGGTTGGATACTGCTCTCTTACAAGTGAAATGCAGCAAAGTACTGCTCTCCACAGAGTGAAATAATTTTTACATGCCTTGTCAGTCTTGCTATGGCCATGGAAAGAAATACAGTGAAAGCAGAGACATTGGCACTGTTTATGTTATTTAGAATGTTTTTGCAGCTAACARTTTTGACCTCTATTCTGTTTTGATGGTCCTGGTTTCTAAAGGTCATTTCATGTTTTCCAGTTAGGAGAAATGAATAAATGCTTTCTTTTCCTGTGGACTCTCCCAGGTTTTACCCAGATCCTGGCTCAGAATTATTCCAAAGAATTGCTCGTTTAAAACTAACACGCTGCATTGTCAGTGGAATTGCAGTTATTAACAGCCTAAAATCTGCACTGTGATGCCAGCAGGGTTTCAATTTTGCCCCTTATGGTCTTGAGAGATCCTGAAAAGAGACTGGAATTTGTAATTTAGCATATGAAATCCAGGGGCCATCATTTAAAACATCAATCGTTACTCCAGAATGGTGTTTGACAGGCTGCAAGTAATTTCTACTTCAAGCAGTCTCAGGCAGCAGAGTAGCCCAAAGGTCATGTTGTTCTTATCATAAGTAAAAGATATCTTCTTCATGATGGATGACTGTTCTGTGTGTTTACGATGCATAAAGTATTAGTAATTTTAGTTCACAATTCCATTTGTCCCACAGTTTTGTCAGGGCAAGCTAAACTCTAGTTAGGTACATGTGTGCTGTGCAAAAGGATGGGACCTTYTGTAGTAATCCATCAACACAGTCCCAGTCGCACATGGGGCAGCTGGGAAGAATCACTTTTACAAAAGGAAATGCCAGGCTGCAGGAATTGGGAAAAAAATTCTTATGTTTTCACTACTAATCTTGACCTGTGCAGGTGATCACAGCTGAAACTAAATGGGTTGCTGCCTCCAGTTTCATGGTATYATGTATGGTGACCCTCAGTGTGCTCTTCACCAGATTTATCAGGTTGGGAGCCCAGGGTTTTCTGTTCTTGGCCAGCCAAATGCCAGAACTGGAGGACCACAGACAGCAAACACGACTCCTGATTTCAGAGCACTTTGAGAACACAGTTACCTGAGACACAAAGATTTGGGCTGGCTTTGTGCAAAGCATTCAGGGCATTCCACAGCTGCTGCCTACAATTTACCCTCATTCTTTCAATTGGATTGAATGCAAAAGCCACTCCTCTGCAGAACCAGGCACAAAAGTAATTTAGTTCAGAGGGCCTGAGAACAAATTTCCTATCTCTTTGCCATAAATGAAACTCATAAGGAAACATTAAAGCAATATCCATTGTTCTTGTTTATKTGAGTCCTGGACATATTTCTGTCAGTGTGTGTACAACAAAGTGCTGTTTAGAAGGCTGAATTTGCCTCTCAGGTGTCAGAATTTTTAGATTTACCACTTCACTCCTCTTGCTGCAGTTTAAATTTTACATGCAAAAATGTGGTAAGTGCCATGCCATTTTCTTATGTTGGAATCCTATGTTTCCAAAAATTAATGAATGACTTTCACTAAGAATCCTCCTAAATTCAAATAATTTTTAAAACGTGCCCTTCATTCACCATTGTGCTAGTTTTGATAAATTTCCCTCTCCATATAYTGGACCTCTTAGCATCTAGATTTGCATTTTGTAGGATTTGCTCTTTAAATAGCCAGCTGTTACCTCAAAGTTTCAAAGCTCTTAYAGCAAGAAGCTTTTCAAAAAGAAGYATCACTCTCCACTTAGGTTCCAGAAAGATCTTGTTTTCAATTCCAGAAGTGGGTACCCAAGGCTCTATTTCATATTACTTCTTCACTGTATGCATACATAAAAAGAGCTGGKTTTTGGCATTGTTCTTCTCCTGAAAAAAAAAAGAAAGTAATTTTTTCTTTTTTAAATAAACATGGATCCATGATTTTGTAATTGAGGAAGGATGGAAAGATTCCTTGTATTTCAAATCAGGTTTTGTGCCTATTATGTAAAACTTTATMGATTGGAAAAAATTGGGACTGGTCATACCAGTTCTTCAGTGCCTTTGGGAGAAGTTAAAAAGGGTAGAAAGTAGAATCATCAGTATCAARTTCAGAAGTCTTACAAAATTCATCAGTCCACTCATAATTATTTGAAGTAAGAGCCATTGATCCTGTCCTTCATACATATATATACATATATGGCTTTCAAATAAAGACAATCTATCTCTGCCTTCAGAATAATGAAAGAAGCAACATTTCACATGCACTCAGTTAATTCCTTTCCTGCTATACCAAACGAAAAACGTTTGACACATGAAAATGGGTTACACTGTGTCACAGAATAATGACCAAAATAGCACATAATGCTAATTATGAAATAAAATGTATCCTTTCATTTGTTTTTTTAAGCATAAGAGAAGTATTTCTTCAGAATTCAAGTATGTTTTACTTCGTGATTGTTATTATTTCAGTCTTTTCATGTGTTTTAGTTTTGATAGTTCCTATGCAAGGTAAAAGGATTCATGTCCTTCACAGGTTGAAGTCTGCTATCAGGCAGAGCCCTGCATCTACAGAGGATGTAACACCAAAGTACTTTAGCTTGGGTCCAGTTCTGARAGAAATGGTTCTGTTTCCCAAGCAGCTCAGCCCATAGCTCTCCTTGTGAGATWGGTCTGGGAAGGGACTCATCTGACCAGCCTGGTTCCTAACAGGGAYAGCAGCCTCCTTGGGGATCTGAGTAAATTCCTGTATTCTTGCTCTGAATGATTGAATTACTATCATGAACTAACTTTTGGCTGTTYATTCCTTGCAGATATTGATGAGTGTTTGGTAAACAATGGCGGCTGTGACCATTTCTGCCGAAACACAGTTGGCAGCTTTGAGTGCAGCTGCCAGAAAGGCTATAAACTGCTCACAGATGAAAGGACCTGCCAAGGTAATACTTCATTAACCTTACTCTTCATATAATGAGGATGTTATTTCCAGCAGATTTTTTTTGGTACTTAAGTCATTTGTACTGCAGGTTTTAATGGTACTGTCATAGAAAGCAAGGTTAGAAAACGCCTGTGATGTTTTCTTTTTACTGAGGTGAGATTAGAAGATTATTGGAAATGTTGTATTTCAATGTTTTTAGTAGTAGGAATGTCAGTGTCCTGCTGAAGTATAAAAATCCAAGTGGAATAGCCTCAGGCAAAGAGCCTTATCTTCAAATCCTCTCATTTGCTATGATCTTAATGGGACAGAGGCTTATTTTATTAAGAGCAGGGTCATTTAGAGGAACTGACTGTAATAGAGCATTTGCAAGATTGTAACTAAAAAAAGGAGTAATTTGTGAGCTCASCTTTGCCCAACAGAAACTGTTTATGAAGGGATAATGGTGGCATTTTGTGGGAATTCAAATGTATTTTGTATCGTTTGCTATAAGTTTGCTATATCGTTGCTATCRTTTGCTATTTGTTATCTAAGTCACTTGATTTTATGTGTTCTATGACTACATAGGTACATAACCATTTCCAAATACAGACCTTTGAAGAAATTACATTTGAGCTCTGTAGCTTTACTCTTTAAAAACCTCCTAGAAAATGCTAGAAAGATGAGCATGCATCAATAGAGAGAGAAAGGGAAGGATGAWGTATTCAATTAAAATTTTGTGAAAAAATTGCTATTTTATTAATACATGATTATTTGCATGGGTTTTGAAGAAGTATAATTATGAAGTCCAAAACAGCGTTAGTATTTTAGAGCTTCTTTTGTTAATCCATAAAAGAGAAACCAAGATCTGAAGATTTATTGAGTCATTCAAAATTTTTCCATTGCTTCTCATTGGTACTTCCACCCATCATTTGAGAAGCCATCTCCCCCTGACTGTGTGATTAAGCATAAAGAAGTTAGAGAAAGGTTGGTTTCAAGCTGGACAAAATGGAAAGAGCTGAGATTAGCACAGCYAGTGCCACGTGGTTTGGTAGAAATGACACTGTAGGATCATGTCAGATCAGGGGAAGTTTTTATTTACCTCCTAGGAACAGGGATAGAATATTAAAAAGAAACATTCCATTCATGATGTATTTAGAATTGGTTAGGAAGAATTCCTTGTTCATGAATTTYGTGTGTGATGTCATGCACTCACTGTGGTATCAATCAGAGGTTTCACCACTGAACTAGTTGTTATTACACCAGGGAAAATCTCGAGAAAAGTTAGGCAAGAGCTGGTGCAAAAGTTATTTGTTCATTACWCAAGTCTTAATACTAGGCTTTAAAATCTCCCTGTAAATGATCAGGTGTCTGTGATGATAGTGAGAATCTAGAAGCAGCTCTGTGAATGCTTTTCAAGTGAATTTTGTTTTTTCATGTGCCAGAGCTCCAGAAGGAGAGTCACTGRTAACAATAAACATCATGCAAGGACTAAAGCAGTAGCTGATCTTCTCTCCCTCATGGGATCAGACATGGAAGTATAACCATGACTGGGCCATCCTGCTTTTTCCATCGTCAGTGAGGAAGGGCAGGCACTCAGTCTTGCCTCTGCACAATACTTTGATTGGTAAACTGTAGCTCATCTGTTGCTGTAACAGATAGATAAGTGCAAGCCCAGAGAATTTTTGGCTGGACACATTCCTCCAGTCCCAGAAACATTGGTTCTTCATAACATGAAATGGGGAGGACAGAGTCATTTCCTCTTTGAAGTCTGAGGTATTTGGGCCCAGMAAATATGGTGTGATGCCTGCTTTGTGGAGGGATCACTGTGATAATTTAGTTCCTGTCTGTTGGTTAAGGTGATAATTGGTGACTCAGGCAGTCAGTAAGCCTGCTAATAAAGAGAGAGGAAAAGTGAATATGGAGGGAAAAGTCACTGATGTATGAATCACCTGTACTTTGCTTCTTCTGCTGTGAGAAGAATATAGTCAGGGGAAGTGGTTATAGTTATTAAYGTCAGGTCTGTCGGGAAAATGTGGTTTGGATTTAGTAACTCTTCTGGGATATAAATCATCCACATTTTGTTTTTTGTAACAGCCGGTCAACACTGACCGTAAAACATTAATAAGAGRTTCAGGAAAATTTATTTTAGGCATATTAGCCTTTCCATTGAGTGAAAGAGAACAGTCTAATTTCTGTTTATAAAAGATGCTGTTGTTCATGCTACATCTGTTGTTTTGATTCATAATAGAGTTTCCATGATTTATGATATTTCTGTCAACATTGCCCTTCTCTTCTGGTTTCCATTTTTTTTAATAAAGATTTCTTTCAGTTACTAATCAACATGTTTACGAAACATTCATTTAGACCTTAGAAGCCTGCATTGTTTGGGACTGGGTCCTATTTTGTTCATGTGGCCTCCCCAGTGTATAGAGCATTCATCTCCAAAAACGTTCATCATTAATATCAGCACAAGGCAATTCTACATGTTTCAATAAAAAATATCCCTTTGTATTGCCTGTGAAATTCTGAAGTTGTCTCACTTCACCTAATTTCCTTCAYGTCCTTTCATTGTAGACCTCAGAGCTGACTTTGAGATTGCAGGGAAATTGTATCAGTTGCAGACCTTGTTCTGGTTGTTTGCAGAGCTCCCATCCCGTGCCACCCCAAGTGCCTTCCACACATTCATCCTCTCTGTCAAGAGGAAAGTATTTCTCTTCCAGTTTTTAGCCAGGAAGATTGAAGCCAAATATAGCAGCTTGCCTGAGATCACATACATAAGTGCCTGGACTGCCCAGAGAATAACCTTCACTTATTGTGAATCTTCCCCTGCTAATTTGCCCATTGTAAGATATTCTTATTCTCTTGTGTTAATGCTCATAYCCCAATAGAAGAATTTTTCAGGATCTCTGAAGTTTACTGCTCTCTTGGTGCCACCCTGCATGTTGAGTGCTTTTGTAAGCAGCCCTCGCATTTGGAAAAGGCCATAATACATTCTGCATTTGTCTGATTACAGCTAAACCATTTTTAGCCCTGGCTGCAAAGAAAACCATTGTCAATCACAGATTACTCCTRCTAAGGAGTGGTTCTCACACTGTGGCTCCTTGTTAGACAAGGAGAATGTGGGGGGTTCCCTTCCTTTCCCCTCCCCTGCATTCCAGCCATTTAAGAGGAAACTTACTTGTAACCCAGAAGGTGAAGAATCCATACTGCCCTGCCAGTAATATTGTGGAGACTGATACTGTTTTCCCAGAGTCTCTTTTTTCACACAGACTTAAAAATAGATTTTTCCCCCTTTGACAGTGAAATCGCTGAATGACAATACCAAACCCATCTATTGTACATTGCTTTAATTAACCCCTTAAGTCTAAGGTATTGTAAATTCTTTGGTGCAGGAAGAAACAGTTGGACCTGTTTGTATAAACCTAGCAAAAGAGGTCTGCATCTCCTTTGAACATGTAGTAAAAATAACATAGCTATATTTATAGCAAGGAGAGCTCGTGTTTGTAATCTTTTTGTTAATTAATAGAAGGACAACAACTCAGATCAGTTCTAGAATGACATCAGCAACAAGCAAGCAGGCAAGACTTGCTGCGAAGAAATAAAGCTGCTATGAATGTGTGTAAGCTCAGACATAATTACCTTAATCCTCAGCCAGTATGAGTTTTAAAGCCAGTTCACTTAATTGCTTATTCAGTTTCTGTTTGTTGTGCAGTGATTTCAAAAAAAAATCAACAATAAGTAGTCTCTCTGCTTCGCTCAAGTTCAAGCTTCATTAAGCACCCAGAAAAAGGTGTGAAATTCTATCATAAATAATTTTCTCTGCATGCTCCAGGAACTGCTTTTTGCAAAGCAAGACAGTGAGAGACAGCACACACATTTGCTATAGATCTCTCCAGGGAGTGGTAGAGATTGAAAGATGTGTTACCTTGAGAAAACATATAATACTTTGGTCTGTTACCCTCACCCTCTGCCTTCTGCCACCTCAGGTCAAAATAGAGACAAATCTTCCGACGCTGAGGAATTTAAGCTTTTGCAGGGGGCAAAAGCTCAATGCATTTGCATCATTCTGGTCCACTGTACAGCCTCCAGAACAGGCTTAAGTGGAGCTTGATGATATTACAGACATGATAAAGTCTGCTCGTTGCYTTCTCACCAACCATTTGAATTGATACAGCCACTGTAATAAAAGGAGATGACTGTCCATCAGGGAACAGTACCTCCAGGGCATGTGGACTACCTGTGTGGGCCATGTGGCTTTTTTGGGCCTTCTTTATGGCCATAGATGACAGCAATTTTAATTTACTTTGAAGTATTGTCCATTTGACTGTTGGTTATTGTTTAATGCCTTCCTACCAGATTTTAAACAAATGCAATTGATGCTTTTGYAGCGAGGCACTGGAACACAGGGTCTCACAGTCTGCTGCTGATAGTGCTGGTGTTTCTCCAAAGGAGATTCAGTGATGCATGTTTCCACAATAAGAAATTTCAAACAGAATTTGCCCCATTGCTTCATGAAYAATTGCATTTTCCCTGTAGTGATTTTCTGTGAGCATGTTTTGCTAGATTTAGATAGCTACAAAGCTCTCCAACAGCAGTTCAAGTACAGTTGATTTGAGGTGGTTTTCCCTCTTGCTACAAGACGTGCATATACACAATCATACTTGATACTTCTACTTCTTGTGCTTCTTATATGCCCCACTGTATCCCACTTCCTCTCTTCTCAGCTTCACTTCCAGACAAGTGTTTCTCAAGACTTGAAGCTCATGGAGTGGAGCAACTGGAAGTAATGGCTAGAGCAGTGATGCTGTGAGCAGATACTGAAGCAGTTTCCTTAGTAATTCTGTCAGCATTTTTCAATGCTGTCCTGCAATACACCTCAAACATTGTCCAGTTCTGGAGGGTTTTTTGTTTCCTGTTTTTTTTTATTTGGCTTTGTTTTACATATCTGCATATCTGTTACTAGAGTAATCCTTTACATAGGGCTCCCAATGCCTAAAGTCAAGACAAGCCTTCTTTCATCCC